TGTGCTGAAGTTGTAAGTGGGAGGTTATGAAATACCTATTACATATACATATATGTATGCGCAGATGCTTTGATAAATATAAAACAACTGCATTCCAGCTAGCATGCCTGATCCGTGTACCCGTCGAAATTGCGAAACAACGACGTCAAACACTTGGTAATACACAGAAAACCACAGCACTACAAATACTTTGGCGTGCTTACAAACTAGAAGGGTTGTGCCGTGGTCTTTATCGTGGATTTAGTACTACGGTGATGCGTGAAATACCATTCAGCTTAATACAATTTCCCATGTGGGAATATTTTAAGCTACATTGGACTGCTACAACTGGCATGGATTCGACTCCTTTTACAGTTGCATTATGTGGTGCAATGGCTGGTGGTATTGCCGCAGGTCTCACTACACCACTAGATGTAGCAAAGACGCGTATTATGCTTGCTGAACAGGGCACGGCAACAAGAAAGTTGAATCCACGCACTGTGTTAGCGGCCGTGTACAGGGAACGTGGTTTTGCGGGGTGAGTGGAGGGTTAATATATATGTAGATACACATATGTCTGTACATGATATAGTCCTTTATTCAAATAATTTCTTTCTTTCTATAGTCTTTTTGCCGGTTTTGCACCACGTGTCCTCTGGATCACTTTAGGCGGTGCATTCTTCTTTGGGTTTTATGATTTAACATTAAGACTTTTGCGTGGTACTGTAGCAGCGGATAATCCAAATATATAGCAAAGCAATAATTGATATGAAATCGCAAAGTTCTTTAATTTTAAGTCTATAGGCATGCCCTTAACAAACGTTCATATGTAATATGTACGTACATACATACATATCTTTATGCCCATGGTCCTGTGCAATAACGACACAATTCAAAATTCAAAAACTAAAAACCGTTACTACTGTTTAGTAGCTCATGTCTCTAATCCTTATCGAATCCATGTCTAATATTTGAACTTAGTTTAGCAATCCTTACTGCTTCCTTAGTAAGGGATGGAAATGGATTAGAGACAAAAGTCACTTAACAGTAGTAACATTTTTTAATATTTTGAATTTTGAATGGTTATTGCACAGGACCATCGATGTGTGTAGAAACAGATATACTCAAATTAAAAATAATTGATTAGTTGTAAGAATCAATTTAATGCTTATTTATAATGTATTTTCTATTTTCATAGACTTTGGATCGAAGCAAAAATATATTTAGAATCTAGCTTAGTTTCCATAACGATCTTTGTCTTAATTTATGAGTATATCGCGAGAATTATCTATGTATTTGAGTATCATGTGCTATTACGAAACATCAGGTGCAACAATTATAGCAGGAAAAATTTTATGATTTGATAGTTTAATAGCTCTAATAACCGCTATTTTCGTCAAAGTTTGGTATGCTTGCTTAAGTGTATAGTTCCTTGCGAAGTGTACTTGCGTAACTCTGGGTAATATAAGAAAAAATGTAATATTACAAAACGCAGAGAATGTATCATTATGTTTTAAATGACTGCACTCACATTATCGATTTGTAGTTTCCCCTTCAGCAGACATTCGCTCGGATCGTCGAAATCATAATCGTCACCCTGCTCCATTGGCGTATCGGAATCGTCTTCAAGTGAATACTTGCGCTCACTTCTTCGTCGGCAATAGATACGAGCTAGGCGGCGTCTATTCCGCCCTATCAAGAATACCTGTACGTTGCCATGAAAATAGTGTAAAAATCGATAAGCATACATACATACATGGATTGCACAGATGGACAGAAGCATTGATTTAGTTAAATACTCACTAGCGCTGATAAAGCCACAATAAGCAAAAGAACAGTGAGAGGAATTAAAATGAAGTGCCCACTATCGTCTGGCTCAATATCCGTATCAGTTGCATCTGTTGTTTTGCTTGTAGCTGATGCAAGTGTCGTAGGCAGTAAAGTAGGTAAAGTTGAATTTGTATTTTGCTCTAGAAGATCGCTCGTCGTTGCTGCTAACGTGGAGGACATAAATATTTGCAAGGCTGTTACGTTTTCAGTCATTATTTCCTTGTAATTTTTAACACAAATTGTAAACCTCAGTATGTACTGAGTTGTAAATGCAATTCTCCTGCAAGTGAAATGCACACCAATTTTATTTGTTTACATAAATGACAGTTGGTGCAATACAAAACACAAGGTTGCATTTTTGCAAAAACACCTTTGATATGGCATCGCCAATAACAGTACGCCAAATGCTCGGACAGCTGTCACTGAACGAGCACGTACATAGTCTGTTCCAGTACTGCAGGCTTTACTCACAGGTTATAATGGGAGTAAAGAGCAAAATACACAACAGAAGCGGCTTGACGAACCAAGCGAAATATTCCTTTGCTTCAATCCATTTGAGGGCGTGTTGAAACGAATACAGAAGGTGGCGCTGATTGTGATACCGCTAACACTCCCTTGAAATTTTTGACAGCAGTGTGACGTCATTGTAGATTGTTTATTGCCTGCGTAATATACATATACATACTGACACATCTCTCCTCAGCTCTCTCCACAGGCAAATCTGTGACAGGCTAACCGAATATTCGCGGCTTGCGTTTTGGTACGCATGCCGTCGAATTTGTTTTTTTGCGTCACCCGAAATTGGCTTTCGTCAATATCAAAACGATGTGTTTGTTGTAAACTCTCCGAATTCATTTAACAACAAACACATCATTTTGACATTATTTGGGGTGTTCACAGTTCGTTCCAAATAGTGTCTCAAAATGTAGACGTCTACATTTTAAGACGTTTTCTAACCGTAAAATCTGTGGTGTTGTTGTTTCCCATACAAAATTGGAAAACGACGCCGTCTACATTTTGTCACACTCAAAGGTATGTTTTTTACGCAATTACGAAATAACAAATATTACGAATTGCTAATTAAGTTAAATAATTACAATTTTTCAGAAACAAAATCGAAAGGCGACATATAAAAAATGCACGCAAGGAAGAAATGTCTGGCAACACCAGCAAAGTTTTGAGACGATTTTGCGACGACTGCTAGAAAGGGGTGCTCACAGTTTGATGCTAAAGATGTCTCAAAATGTAGCCGTCTACATTTTCAGACACAATTTGGAACGAACTGTGAACACCCCAATTGTCATGACGGTATTGTCTGGTGTAAATCTTATGTTACTGACTTAGGGCTTACACCGGCCAATATTGTCAAGACAATTATGTCAAAACGATGTGTTGTTGGAAACACGGCGAATTCATTTTACAACAAACACATCATTTTGACATTATTGTCTTGACAATATTGTCCGGTGTTAAGCCTAATGCCTTAGTTATTATGGAACGATACGCACTGTGCGTATCGTAACAAATCGCGGCGAATTCATAAGGATCTATTGATTTTAGATTGTTCCGTTTTACGTTACGTTTACGTGCATTATAACCATTTGCATTCATTTCCCATACAATGGATAATTAAGTGAAAGTTCACTCCGTTCCGTTACTTCCATTATAACCCAGGCATAAGTTAATGTCAAAAAGATGCGTTTGTTGTAATATGAATTCGCCTTGTTTACAACAAATACGTCATTTTGACATTAATAAGTACCGCTGCGAAAATCTAAATTCGCCATCAACACCGCCTTGTATAAATTCGCCTTCTCTGAGTAGTGGAACAGACTATAAGCGTTGTGAATTGATTTCTTGCAGGAAAAAGTTGAAGATTATTTCAATAAAACCAGGCAAACAATCGCGGAAAAGGCATTAATTGCCTTCAATAATGATGCAGTCCACGAAAAGCGAAACCGCTTTGCAGGAAAGCTCAACGGAATATGTTGATTTATCTGACTACTGTAGGCTGTGTCTGCAAGTGCCAGAGGAGTCTCAATTACTTGATCTACAACTTATTTACGATGAAGAAGAGAATCTTAGCTACTATGATTGCTTCACCGTTTGTACGCAAATAGATTTACACGCTGGTGGTGTTAATGCGCCTCATCAGCTGTGCAAGTCATGTGGCTTGGAGTTGCAGGTGGCATATGATTTTCACAAAAAAGTGGAGGAGTCTAAGAAGTTCTTAATGCAGTTGAATAAAACGGAACAACTAGATGAAGAATTCCTTTCGACGTCTCCGCCAATTGCAAAAGAAAGCTATGAAAATAGTGACGTTACGACGCCTATGCAAATTGAAAGTAACATACAAACAGTGACCGAAGACGTGGTCGAGCAGGCTGAAGACAAAACAAATGATCCACAACTCATACTAGCACTACATGTTAACGATGCTGCAAATGAAAACGAAATAGCTAATAGTCAAGAGATTATTGCTGGCCACTTGGCGACGCCTATAGAATATGAAGCGTTGGAAGAACATATCGAAATGGAAGATTATCAATCGGTCGACGAGCTGGTCGATGAAGGTAATTACATACATACGTGTACTATTTAGAAGTTTAGTAGCTTAGTTTCCAAAAATAGTATTGACTGTACCGAATTTAGTAGCTAGTGGATTTAAATTTCACGAGATATATGTAAGTTTTATATTAATTCGTGCGTATTCGCATGCTGGCATTAATGGAAACCTCGTAGTTCGTAAAAGACTTTTGCAGCTCAAGGAAATGCTTATTTACTTATAGAAATTGTTGTATTAACAAGATAACTGGCACAATAGAGAAATTTAGGACTATGTGATTGGGATTGTCTTCTATAAACAGGTTATAACGGTTCCAAAGATTTTGGGAGATGCTCCTTAAATTGCAAGTCGTTCTGTTAGCGTATACGGGACTATTCGACTTAGTAGGATATACTGTGATGTAGACCACTATTGTCTATCTTGGTTGGTAGATATTTTTTGGCACGCATGTTCTACTACATCAAATGTAACTAAATTCAAGAATGGATAATACATAACTTTAAAATTTTAATACGAAAATACTTGTAATGTTTCCTCAATTGTTTATTGAATGAAGTTAAGATAAAATTTAAATTCGTGAAAGTTAAAATTTTAAAGTTAACTAAGTTTGGTGTGGCATTATTAATTTTGTTGTTGTTTTTGTTTCTTATATAACTCATTGAATAAACAGATGCGGAAACAGTACAAATTCAAATTGATGACCAAGAGTACCTACTACAGAAGGTCAAATTAAATGAAAAGAATTTTACTGATGGGTTAATCGATGCAGCTTCAAACAAAAGTCCAGATTTGTCCAGTAAAAAACCCTCAGAAATTAAGTCAACGAGCGAAGAAAGTAATTCGGAATTTCAGAGTGATAACATTACTTTTGACTATGAAAGTACTGAAAGCGATATAGAATTAGTTAATGATAAACAAAATGAGGAACATATAATAGAAAAGGAATCACCAACGAAAAAAAAGAATACTGAATCAAATGTCGAAATCGATGTCAAGTCTTTAGTGATTTCGAAAAAAGGAGAAATCAGGGAGCGACGTCGTTACTGTGGCAAATTTACCTGTGATTATTGTCAGAAAGTTTTCAAGAATCGATCACGTATGCTAACACATCGTCGCTCTCACGAACCGGATCGGCCGAAATTCGAATGCGAAGAATGTGGTCGTTTATATGCAACCAAACAGGCTAAACTTGTACATGTGCGTACGTTCCACAACAGAATCGGACACAAGTGTCCGATTTGTGGTAAAATTTACGTTATTGGAAAATTACTTGAAGTGCATATGCGCTTTCATACGGGCGATTTTCCATACGTGTGCGATATATGTGGTCAAAAGTTTGCACAAATGTGCCACTTGAACACACACAAGAATGTAAAGCACAACAGTGTACGCTACTCATGTGAACATCCTGGTTGTGGTAAATTTTTCACCTCATCATCATCGCTACGCAATCACGAATTTTCGCACACTTCAATGCCATTCGAATGTGCACATTGTAAACGTGGCTATCCGGCAAAGTCTAAGTGAGTTATATATGTACTTATCTACATAAATATTTTTCCTGATTATTACGTAGTAGAAGAATCTTATATACTGATGTGTTTATTTGTTGTAGATTAAAAGTGCACATACGACAGAAGCATGGCATCGAAGTGACGCTCGAACAATTGGAAGATATGCGTAAATTTCATGTGATGCGTTCCAGATTAAATTTAGTTAAAATTACTGAATAGATCTAAAACTTAAAGCTATAAATGAATTAAACTTTAGTTTATACTAGTTTTATACATAACTATTTGTAGTGAGTGGAGTTTTTTTATGAATACTAGTTGAAATCTTAAGTGTGAATGTATTAATTAGAAAGCTATTGAAATACTAGAAAATAAAAATATATATATATTTTTTTTTGTTTGAAAAAGTGTTAAGTCAATTAAGTACTATTAAACATATATTTTCATTATATTTAATAAAACTAACGCGGTGGAAAGTAAAGCCCATCAATTACTAATAAGTATTCAAATCCTTATCTTTACCTTTCGGTATATGTTTGCATTACATTAATAATAATAATAATAGATTGGTGCAATACATATTTTTTTATTTTATTCTGTTTTTATTTTTTTAATTTTATTATGTTTTTATTTTTTTTTTTATTTTATTCTGTTTTTTATTTTTTTTTATTCTGTTTTTTTTTTTGTTTCTGTTTCTGTTTTATTTTTAATTTTTTAATGTTGGGTTGAACCGAGCTTGAACCCAGGCCCAGGCTTGAAGGGCCTCTACGGAGTGTAAGCGTAACGGGTCCATTGGCCAGTGGCTTATGTACCATCGTAAACTTAAGGACTTTTAATTATAATGGCGAGAAATATCAAAACTACGAACATATATGTTTAAGAACACCTACAAATAGTATCTGTTAAGACATCGATGCCGAGTATTCCGTATGCGTTCATTAGCTAATTTTCAATTAACAAAAATGTATTGCTAAGAAAACCAATTATTTTTTGCTTTTGTTTTTAAATTTATTTGAATTTAAATTATTTTCTGTTTTCTCCCTTCCTCCGTAATTTCAGAAATGCGCAATATATCGTAACGAATCTTATTATATTAATGTCATAAATTTTATAAAGGTTAAAAACACTTTAAACGGTACACCAAAAACCCCAAAATATTTTAAACCATTTATTTTAAAATTTACGCCATTTGACAGTTTCGACACCTCGTGAACTCCCTAATTATGAGTTATTTGTGCATCTGGTAAAAAGTTAGCATCGTTGCCATCCATTTAACGGTTTCTGAGTTCTTTGTACGGTCTGAGTTTTTCTTTTAAGTGTCCTAATTTTGTATTCACGTCAACTTACTAACGCGTTACTTACCACACATTTTGTAACACAAATTCTAGACATCGAAAAGGATCAGCATATCGCCGCATTCAAGATTGAAAAAGAAGAGCCTGTAATTTTACCTATAAAAATGCACGCCAACGAATCGCCGAAAAAACCAACAATACTTGTAAATCTAGCACCGCCATCGGATGAGGATGATATTAATTTAAAGGAATACCTCTTTGAAAATCAAGATCTAATTCCGAAAGTCGAAGATCAATTCGATACGATGCCACGAAAGCGTGGACGCCATCCACTTATCCCTGGTGGACCGCCATATCAGTGTGAATATTGTGACCATATGAGTCCATCGCGACAGCGCTTGGCATCACATCGACATCGTAAACATCGCTTCAATAAGCCATCTCATAAATGTGATGAATGTAGCAAAGAATTTTCAACGAAGCAACAACTGGAACGCCATCGGCAGCGTATTACCTGCCAAACTTATCCCATCTTCAAGTGTGAATTTTGCGAGAAAACCTGTATTGGCCGAGCGAACTATCAGATACATTTGCGCTTCCATAAGAAAATTTATCCATTTGTTTGTCACATATGCGCTAAGTCATTTATGTTGGCGACGCATCTCACCAACCATGTAAAAACGAAACACGAGGGACAGCGCTTCATTTGCGAACAATCAGGTTGTGGGAAAATGTTTCAAACATCGCATGCGCTTAAGAATCACACATATACGCATGTCAAGCAATTGCCCTATCGCTGTGACTACTGCCAGCATGATTTCCCAACCAAGGGCAGGTGAGTGAGAGAGAAGCTCTAATTAAAATTGTTGCTTCTTAAATACAAATGTATATTTTTAGATTGCGTTGGCACATAAGCAGAGTACATGCCATTGATCATACTCTCGAAGAGCTGGATTGTATGTTGGTTGCCAAAGAGATTGAGCTGAAAGCACAGTTGCAGCCTGCATTAGAACCTGACTCCAGTGCACAGATTGAAGAGATTAATGCTGATGAGCTTGCAGACTACTGATGCTGCTAAAATAAATATACTCCAGTTACGGATGTGAAACATTTTATCATAAGTAGCGCAATTTTCGATAAAGAGAAAAATATTTCATATTTATTTGGATTTTTTCAATTTGTCCTGAGTCTACATTTAAAATAAATGCGCTAGATGACACATGACTGTGTGTAGAATAATATTAAATATTAATTTGAATTATATAGACTTGCCTGAGTTTTGTTTTTGCTCTGCCGGCATAAAAACTGCTGAGGTTACTTAGCCAGAAACTATTTTGGGTCGCTCTGATAGCTTACACCCGACTGTCGTGTGAGTCTCCAGTTTTAGTTTTATTTGTTTAATTTTTAACCGACTTCACTAAAAGGAGAAGGTTATCAATTCACCGGAATATTTTTTTTTGTCTGTATGTTGCTGCTGCTGTTGTTGTAAGGAAAGGTGTTACCTCACAGGTGGTCCCATACTAATTTGGTTTAAATCCGATCATTGGATCATGAAGAAATTACCGATTATCTTAAAGTTTTATGTGAGAATTGAAGTCGTTTTTTTTATGCTTAAAAATCACTTTTTTTAATATTTTAACTATATTTTACTTAGTACTTGTAAAAGTTTGTTTATTAATAATTTTGTATAATTTTTCGCTTACATACAAACTTATTTGTGTAGCTTAAGCGGTGGTGTTGCAACAGGTGTAACGAAGAACTTTTAAAGATATTCGCAATGCCATTTAGAAAGAAAAAATGTATTTGTTTTGGGAAACGCATCTTTTCAAATAAAAAACATACTTTAAACTTATTAAAACAATTTTTAAAATTTTCATTAATAAAAGCTGTAATACCCGTAATAAACATTTTATATAATTTCTTTTAAATATATGGCTCGTTTCTTCTAACGCTTATGATTTTATCCTACATATTTTTATGAACATATAAATTTACTTAATTTAATTGGCTTTGTTTTAAACTACTTTAGTATGTGTATTTTATGTTATTTTTTATTTTACTTCATTTTATTTATTTATTTTTTTCATTTATTTTATTTTATTTTATGCTTTATTTTACTTTATTTAATTTAAAACTAGTGATCTTTGGGGTCTCGACTGCAAGGTTATAGTAGTTTAGTTAGTTTTCATTTATAACAGATTTTTATTCTTTTGTTCGATTTTTTAAATAATTTAGTTTGAAATTCAAAAACACAAAATACAATAAACGGGTTTTATGTTGTTTTTGAGCGAAGTTTTACTTCTATTACATTTTCAGTACAAATGGAGTACCTTTTAGTTGAAGAGCTCGATTCGGTGTCTGCTGAAAGCATACTACCCCACTCTGTCCTTTACAGTAACGATAATACAAATAGTAACTCTATGGCCGGTTCAACTTCCAAGTCAGAAGGACTGTCTATTTACTCAGATGCAACACCGCTGAGCGATTCAACTACGGGTGAGAGCAAAAAGGACAATGAGTTGAGCGAATATACACAAAGTCAAATTGAAGAACAAAACAGCCCACCCTCATCGCGCGCCTGTACGCCTGATCTACCAATAAAAATAATTCATCCACATCGTGCTGGCCGCATCACCTGCGATTTTTGCCAGAAATCGTTTACCAGCCGTAGCAAAATGCTTTCCCACCGACGCATGCACGAGCCGGATCGACCGCGCTTCAATTGTACCTTTGAGGGCTGCGATCGTTCTTATTTATCACGTCAGTCGTGTGAGCTACACTACAAACAGACACATTGCTCGCGCGATGACTTCCTACCGTTCAAGTGCGAGCTGTGTAATAAAGCGTTCTCGGTACCACAAACGCTGGAGGTGCATATGCGTTATCATACGCGTGAATTTCCCTACGAATGTCAGCATTGCCATCGCAGGTTTGGACAAAAAGGACATCTGACGACGCACATGCATGTTAAACATAATAATTTGAGATACATTTGCCCGGAAACGGGTTGTGGCAAAGTATTCAAAAATACGATTTCGCTGCGTAACCATAGCTTTTCACATACGGGTATGCCTTTCCGGTGCGCCTACTGCGATAGGGGCTATCCGCAGAAGTCGAGGTAAGTAATTACGTATTATTTTTTTTTGCGTGCAAATATCGTATGCGTTAACCTAGGAGGAAATTTGTAACTGCGTCTTTTGTAACCCAGCAGAAAATCTGTAATTTTTTCTTGTGTTCACAAATAAACATTTCTGTAGACTACATAAGGGCTATTTCAGGAGCATTTTGCAACTAGTTCACGACTAGTTCAGGACGATTTCGGGACTAGTTTGGGATCATTTAGGGACTGGTTCATCACTATTTGAGGACCATTTCGATACTTGTTATTGCAATAACGTTTCGGGACAAGTTCAAGCCATTTCGGGATCATTTTGGGACTAATAAATTACCATTTCCAAACTTGACCGAGATCACTTCGGGACAAGTTCACAAATTTTCGACCGTTTGACCATTTGCCGCTAGTTCAGGGATATTTCGGACCTAGTTCAAGACTGTTTCTGAAAACATTTCCTAAAATATTCCCGAAGTGTTTATGAAAAAATCGTGTACTGGTCCCGACAAATTGAATAAAGTGAAATGAAATTATTTTTTTAATTTCTAAGCTAAACTATTTGTGTACATACATACATATATATGTAGCTGAATCATCTAACGCTTTGCCAAGCCGTACGCAGATGTTTACATATCAATTTTTATGTGTACCTGGTACTCACGCTTTTTTTTATGTGATTTTGTTTATTTTGATATTCTCTTTCCTTTTCAGGCTCAAAGTTCACTTGAAACTGAAGCATGAAATTGATATGCCCGTTGAGGAATTGGAATCGATGCGTAAACTGAAAAATACTCATACTCGCATTCGTCATGCAGTCGTAAAGGTGGCAAGCACCTCAGATGTTATGTCACAAGTTAAGGCAGATGACTTAGACGTCGACGACCCCGAAAGTGGTGCATATTTTGAAGATGTTGGGGAAGAAATTGAGATGGATATGTAACGACGTTTTGACTTTGACGCCAAGGGGATGAAAAGCATTCGAAGGATTGTAGTACGAGTATA